TGGCGTGTTACGCAGTATTTGGTTCCCGGAACCAGGTCGATCTCATGACGCACACCTATGTCCGGAGGTAGGACCGAAGGCGGGTCTTTAGATACGACGTCTTAAATTTCCTTTCCCAAAGAATAGTACGGATCCAAGGGATTCCGTAGGGTTGACGATCAACTCCGTGCGTTCAGCTCTCTTATGGTGCCTTCCAAGACAGTTTCATTCCAGAAGAGATGACGAGTTAATCTCCTCGTCCGGTCGTGCAATGACTACTTCGGCCAAATCGCTGGCCTTCACGACACTGCCGAACTCTTTACGGGACATCTCGTCCAGCTCAAGAAAAGCGTCTACTGCAGGTATAGCCTCGAGGCGGTCGTCGCCATCTTCCTCCCCCGTCATACCGTTGACGAGGGTGTATAACTGTACACCGTCATCTACGGTAGACACACCCTGGATCAGGGTTGACGCCCGGCGTTTTGCAGCCAGCATACGGCGTCGCCGTCGCCTCCGTACAGAGGTTCTATGTTTCGGTGAGACCAGGGTGAACACGCACTCCGCGTCGTCCGGTGTCACCCTCCTTTGGAGCTCCGATATTATCTACTACATCCGACGAAGAACTGCCAATCCCGCAGTCTTCGTCCAGTAGATAACGTGCCACTCCACGCGCATCTGAAGGGCCGTGCCCAAGATGCCTCGGCCTCTGTCCGACCATGTCACGCATGACATGAAGCGACTGCTCCGAAACTTGAGCAGCGCTGTCCAATGCACCGTTGGTGTCTATCAACTCGGACATTCCAATGTCCAGCACGTTGACAGAGCTCTAGCCAATAGCGCTTTTGTCTCCTAGCAGAAGTGGGTTCATGACTCACCAAAGCTTCACCAGGAGACGTGCGCGTAGCGCCCAAGGTCTTTGACCTTCAATCAATTTATGGCTCATGGTGTTCCAACGATGCCATTCCTAGAATGAGATCATACCTTGCATCCATGTCGACTAGACATGATTTCACGCTATCAAAGTCAAGAAACCTGACTCCGAGGTCCACAGGGACTTTCGGGACTGTGACACGTGTCCACGTCGCTAGGCGAACAGTGACGATGTCACCCAACAGCGCTTTCAGCACCTCAGCATACAACTGACTTCACTCCATCGTGGAGCGTCGTGCAGAATTGCCCGACGCCCCAGAATCAATGAGGATCTTCGATGGCTTCTCGAAGCCCTTTACGGTCGCCTCTACGACCAGCAAGCCCGGCTTGCATACACGTTCCGTGTTCAAGAGCATGGAGCTCTTCGGGGCTGGGCCCTGTTTACCTATGCCTCCCTGAGGCTCAACAAATCTCAGTTCTTCTGCAGTAGGTCGTCCCGCGCCTACTGTAATTGTTTCGACTTTCACTCGGAATATGACTCGAGGTGTCCCAGCAACGCCAAATCTAGATTATATATCAGACCCAGGTCCATGATGTGATAATGTTCTACCCCGTCAACGTGATCAAACATCACACAAAGGTTTAACATGATGTTTGACGCCTTGACGTATACCCTCGTCGCATGACGAATGGATATCGCATCCGTATTTGACATCTTCAATGCATCCGTGCAATATCTGCCGCACAACGCTCCTGGGTCTATCAAGACGTTCTATGATCTCACAAACCGGGGGAATCGATATTTATTCAAGAACTTTGCCCATTAAAAAAATCACCTCTTTCAAGACTGTAATTCGCTAACCACATTTCCATGAGGTATGAAGGAACTCAGTTTTCTTCGACTTAGTCGTCTTCGACTGAGAGACCAGCTCTTTCTACCACTCAGCTGAGAGCGAAGGGTGCACGCAAGGTAGCGTGGTTGTACTTATCACCTCTGGAGTATCGTTGAGCTTCAATCACCATTATTTATCTAGTCCTCGCATTACAGAAGCTGAACTCTGAATTGAATGCAACGCCCAAAAGAGGTAGGGTAAACACAAAAGGTCTGATTGCGAGCCACATACGATCCGAGTTCTTTCATATCGATGATATCAGTTATTCATTTAGTGGAGCTCAGACGCAATTGCGGCGATAAAATCTCTTGTATTTAAATCGTACTCCACCAGTTCTTGTCTGCGTGGAGGGGTGGACAAGAATTTGGAACGCAACGGTACGTCCTGCTTAGACAATAGACAATGCAAACACCCGCGACATCTGTAACTTCGAATCTTACCACATTGCGAGCGCCTCTTTTTTCGAAGTGCTTTACGTAAGTGACCATTTTTGTGAGTGGCCTCCTACCTTGGAGACCGCCATGCGACGCTCTGCTGCTCCTTTTGTAGCACAGTTAGATTCAGGACCATCTCATTTATCCGGTGATACAGCACAAAGCATTGGTGGCTTCGCTGCAGCGGGGTTGCCGTAGCTTTGCGCTTTGAGGAAGCGGAAGTTAGGTCACCGACCTCTCGTTCGATACTCAGAATAAGTACGAGTTTAGCGGATTGCAATTTGCTTACTCCAATAGTTATTATAGCCTTAAGCCAAGGCCAGTTAACTCTTCAGTTTCAATTCAAAACTGACTTTATTTATTTTTATCTGCGATGCATAGATTTTCCTATATATATGTATAAAAGAAACTAAATACAAGTTGTTGTTTGGGTGTGGTCACACCATGCCCATCTGGTGTGACCCCCCTGTTACCAGGGTATGTGTAGCCCCGTTACATCCGCGGTGTATGCCATCTGTTTTTCAACCAGTACCCGCTGAAGTTTTCTCATCAGCGCATTCTTATCGCTGGAGTGCTCCTTCAAGCAAGCAGTAATCGTTTCCAGCCCTTTGCCGCTACCTTCCCGATCCATTTGGTACCCAGGATAGACAAGCGCTTGTTATGCTGGTCTTCTTGTCTTGGGGACCATTGGACAATGGTCCCCAAAACAAATATGGAGTACATAGCTTTAGCAACCATTTTTTGTTGCATTCAATATTGTCCAATATTGGACAATATTGTGTTTGGCCTAATTGTCAAGCAGTTACAAAAAATGGTTGCTAAAGCTATGTACTCCATTTGTTTGATCTTTGTTTGAGTGCAAAATTTCAAGATTTAATCACAAGTTTACATCATGATTGGCTTTACAGATGAATAATTAAATATTCCCAATAATGAACACGCAATCATCCCAGTGGTCTGTGCCAAAAGTGTCGCGCTTGTGGTCGGCCAAAGGTGATGAAAATTGCTCGCCACCGCGTTCTGACGATTATAAGGATTGGTCGCTAATGCAGCTCAAGCGCGAGATCACAAAGCGTCAGCTGAAGACCAACCCACGCCGTCGTAATAAGGATGCATTCGTACGTGTGCTGCTCGCAAATGATCTGGATCAGAGCCAAACGCCGAGAGTTTCTCAAAATCAGACGCAGCAAACGTTAGAAGAATCTGCTATATTTGTACCTTCTTCGGAGCTTCATGGTATTTATGATGGAGATCAAGCGCCGCAACAAGAGCAAAAGGATGTGTACGCGACACAACAACAATCTCAGCAAAACATTTATAGAAGTAGTGGAGGGCAGCAGCAGCTTCAACAGGATGTATATGGAACAAATGTATTGCAACAGCCTCAGCCTCAGCACTCTGAACTGTATAATGGACAACAGCAGCGACAGAATCTGTATATGGAGCATTCTCATCAGCAGGATGTCTATACTAATGCTGGAGAGCAGTCTCAGACATTTATATCCAATGAAATGAATTCAAAGATGCTGCAGCCTGCGTCATTGACGCCTCTAGCTCAAACACCAACGCAAAGCTCGGTAGAGGTCACAGTTGTCTCTACTAATCCTGATGCTGAAAAAAAGTCTTCAGAAAAGTATATGACATTTAAACGACAGCGGATAGAACAAACGGAACACAGAAAGGAGGAAAGTGAAAATGCACAAAATGCGAAATTGGATATGGGGAAGACAACACTTTTCTCACATCAAGGAAACAAAGGATCGACGGAGTATTTAAGACGAAAGTTGAGTATTCAGGCAGCACACGTTGAGATTAAAAGCCGACGGTTGGACATTGAAATCAAGCGAGAGCAACGCAAGAGCGAGCTTCATGCGGTGCAGCTTGCATTAGCAAAAGAACAGTTGCAACAGGCCAAATTATCTTCTCAAAAGATGAAGTCAGAGTGGGTGGTTGAGCAATTGATACACAAAAAGCGATTGAATGATGCGGGAATTTCGCAAGAAGATTCAGCTGCGCTTGGAATGTATTTGTCATGAGTATGTTATTGTTGACATGTTGAAGCGTTGTTGGCGTTCAATACTATGATTGTTTAAATTTTTACAATTAAGTGTGATTATTGCGAAATTAAGTGAGCTATTTATTTTTTCCGATGATGGTTGACGGAAGGTACTGCAGAATAGGTTGATGTAGGTGCTGCACGCATAAGTAATGGAGCACTCAGACGAGGAGCAGCATCATTCGTCGAGGTCTTGTACACTTGGTCGATTAGCTTTTTAATGCGAGACTTGGCGAAATTTGAAAGCTCTCCAGAAGGCAACAGTACTGCAGATTGCATTAATGCTGCTTCCTGAGAAAACAGCGAGGCCACTTCTTTTACAATGACCTTAAAGCGATCTCGAGTCAGCACACCTGATTCGCAGCTCTGTTTATACAGCGGATAGAGTTTTGCCTTTACGTAGTCGACAACAGTATCTGACCATCTATTAAATCCGAGTTAAGATCAAAGATTTGACATAAACTACAGATAACAGAATTGGCACGTACACTTCACGCTTCCGTTTTCGCTTTCCCTGTGCTAGCGTTGGACGTTTCGAGGGTGTGAACGCCTCAATCACCGGCAGAGTATGCGTAACATGAATAGGGGACGGCGCTTGGTTAACTAATTGAGGTCGAGGGGACTCATTCAGCACAGAAGGATTCAAGTCTCGCCACTTTTCACCAAGTTCAATTATTCGCTGCCGTATTTCGATACCGATATGTGAGAGCTCTGATAAGCAGTCCATGGTACTCTGCAAGCTATCTTCCTATATTCGAGAATTTTGTTAGTGCTTTTGCTCAATGTAGCTTACAACTTGTGCACTGACCTCCACTAGATCTTCTTGGCGAACAGGAAGCGACTCTAAAATACCGACAGCAGTATTAAGCACCTGTGGATTGGGAGAATACTGTGTGTTGTCTCCTTGTGTTGGCACGCGAATCCAATCATGAAGAACCGACAGACAGCCAAGTTCAAGTGCCGCTACCTTTTCCTTTTGATTAAGTCGACTGAAAAATGTTTTAACTCTTGAAACGAGCCTCAATTTCGCAGTTTTAGGAATAAGGAGCGCTACGGATAAAGCGTAATCATCACTACTCACAGCGTCTTGCATTAATCTGGCCAATTCACAGTATTCAGGAGCAAATGAGCTTGATATCTTAGTGCTGCTTTGATTGCACCGACCGCAGTCACTTTGCTGATGCATACTAGAGTCACGGGTTGCAATAGCCGCTGCTGCAACTTTTTTCCTGTTGCGACGTTTATCTTCACACGTTTGATTTATGGTGGACAATGTCGATAATACCGCATTCGATCGTGTACCAAGACTGGGTTGTAGGCCATCATTCGGTGTGCTTCCATCTCTCCATCCATACAATGAGGATTGTGCTAAATCGCCGCGTGCGAACATGGCATCAGCTCGTCGTTGCACTTGCAATAGCTCACGCGACATCCGCATGACATACGCCGCAGCAATTCCTCGCACTGGTCGTTGATCTTCTTCTTCTCCTACTGCCACAAATTCGTGCGTACCACGTCTTTGAGATCGTGTCCTTACTGGTGGACCACGCCTACGAAGTACATTTGACATTAAATTTGCCAATCGGCGCGTGCGACGTCGTGTGGATACAGTCGTGGCTGGTCGTACGATTTGATCACTCGCTCGATGCTGGACCGTAGAATGTCTTACACAATACCACGCTGAATTTGGCACCGAGCGCAGTCCAATGCAGTAAGTGTGATTGGCTACTCCACAACCCGGCACTTCACACATCAAGAGCACGTGCTCGTCCTCTCCTGAGCCACAATACTCACATCTTGCTTCATTGACTAGCTGCATTTGAGCAGCCAAGTCATGATCCGATGAGTCTGGTCGGTATATTTGCTTAACGTCTTCAATGACTTCGCGCTGCTTTAGTACACCATGCGCATCTTGTCGAGTGACTGAATTAAACCTGGTCTTGCATAGTGGACACAAATTGGTAACTTTCGCCCAGGCGACAATGCATTCAAAATGAAAGTGGTGATCACAACTAGATAGATGTCCTCGCGTTAGAACGTCTACCAAATCCTGGCAAATACAGCACTATAGCAAATGATGACATTGCAATTGCGTCAGTGTTCAATGACTTTCAATAATATTATTTTAGTCTCACATCGTCTTTATTGATGAGATCTACCACGTCATCATCTTCTGCATCTTCGCAATCTTCATTCCGACTTTCCTTCTCAACCGCCTTCTGCTTCTCTTCGTCTATCATGGTCTTTAGTCTAAATGTATCTCAGTGCGTTGCGATTGGTTCAATATATTTATAATAATTGTTTCTACAAGTCGATCTTTAGATATCGCACTGCAGTTACGATGCGTAGATTGTGGCGATGTCGTGGGTGTGTGCAGCTGTGGCTGAATCTATTGCTGGTGGACGTACAAATCAATTGCGCATTCTCTGCATCAACAAATGAAAATTTTACGACTATACATACTCAATCGCTTGCGAGCGAAAACGGGGACGCTATCCCTCCGGTGTTTTGCCTCGACGCAGGCGTGGAAATTGCATTTCCCCGCCAAGACGTAGAAAATGCAATGGATAGTACTGTTTTAGCTTCCGCCGGGACTGCGTGTCTTCGTACCGCTCCCTTGAACGCTGTGATGGGCCATTTGAAGACATCTTTAAGGACTCTATCAATTCACGAAGTAGACTGCGTTCTGGAGCCATTGGACGTCGAGTCGTCTACCATTGCGCTTTTAGGGATTGTTTCAGTATGCTTAAGATCTAACATGGAGATCGAGAATGACATCAAGCGCTGGGGACATGAATCTAAGCGAAAGATTGATGAACTATTTGCCTCTGACAAACATATCTCTTTGAACCAGATCAAAGGCATGGCACGACAAGTGTTGATTTCTCCACCGTATGCACTTCCAAATAGTGGCAGTGGATTACCTCAATTTGTTTTGGATGAAGTATTGGTGTGGTCACGTACAGAAGAAGGAGAGACTTTTAATGCATCGAATGACCAGACGTTCTTGACATACGTTCAAATGGTTGTGAAGAATGACGGAACGACACCATTGCATATATTTCAGGTTACTATAGCAAAAAAAATACAAGGATCCACTGAGCTTGACTTATCGGTATCCTTTGTATTGCCACTGGTTGCGCCGGCAGTGATACAGCCTGGAAAGTCCGATGTGGTGTCGTTTAAAGCAATAACTGACGTAGTCGTAGACTCTTCAAACATATATTTGATGTACATTTCACACAGTGGCTTTCGATCACACATATTCGAGGGAAGTTTGAAAGGAAAAACTTTTCTGTGGAGGGAAGAAAATATTCAAACTCAAGATGATCACGAAGTTTTCGATCAATTTTCTCTCAATTCAGCTGGCAGCCGAGCTTTTTTCGCAGCATTTCCCTATGCGACCTGGCAAGGTAATAATTTAGCTTTGTGGTTCTTGAGTGAAGTGTGAATGACCTTGTTTTGTTGTATTATAGTTGGATTTATGGCTCTTGCCATGGCAGTTGGAATAGTAGTTGTACTTTATATTCGCCGCAAGCGACCCAGTGTTCGTGTCGTGAGCCATGTGGTTTTGAGCTGCTTTAGACTGCCGGGTAAAAAAAAGCTGAACAAGGAAATAGGGGGTCGCACATCAGCGAAGGCAACACCAATTCGTGTAGCCATCAGCCAGACTGAAGTATCAAAAAGAGGGGGCAATCACGTTGAGCTGGAAAGGTACTACCTTTCGTGACAGCGATTGCGAAATAAATCTAAATGTTTGAATTCCTATCACTTCAGTTCTTCTAGGAATCCGAAAGTCGCGAAAGCGTCGCCCTCCGAAAATGCCAGCACCTCTATAAAACTATCGACTCCTGTCCACTCAAAGTAAGTTTGTGCTGACTTTCAATCTCCAACAAAGCTTTATTAAGACATGCTATATGTTTTCATATCAGGATGCCTGCAATTACAATGAATTGGAAAAAACCTTCGTCGCCACATCAAATCATTATTTCTAAAACGTTTGTGAAATCCCCAAAGTCCAAGAAGCTATTCTTGGATCTTGATTGTCGAGCCAGACTCCATCCTAAGTGCTTTGAAAGCATGTGGGATGACTATGCTGAAAGGTTTGTAGTTGTGCAAAGCTGCAAATGTAAAGCCTTGAGATTGAAGCCTATGCTGAGTCTGCTTGTTGTGTATGGTTCAGATATCAGGACGAGTTGTCAGACGTCAAGCAACCACACTCCGACATTTTGAAAACACTAGAAACTATTGGAATCTCGTGCATGGCGAGCGGAAACGTCAATGGTTTAGAGAAGTTTGTTTTTTACGCGAAGCAACGGAATTGCTCGTGGTTCTTCTTGCTGACACTAGACATCACCGCAGCAACCAGAACTGCAAAACTTTCCCTGCGAGCTACCAGCGATGCAACTGAGGAGCTTGTTACGCAACTGATATATATAGTCAAGGATACAGTTAGTGAGTCTGCCGTATCATAAAACGCAAACATCAAAGACCCACAAAAAAGTCATAAAACACAAAAGCATTAAATGTATTATACGCTGTCAAAGAAAAAGTCGAATGAGTACAATCCTCCTCATGTGCTCCTACATATCAGTGTTTGTGTATCAGCCGCTTTTCCAACCCGATACTTTAAGCAGAGCTTAGTAGCCCTGTAATCACAGCGTCCATGTCGCCATCATGCAGTGTCAGCAGAGCTAAATTGCGTGTCTTGTCCGTAAATCCCATGTCTGCCAAGACCAACTGCTCGTTGGCCCATTTATCGATATTTTCATGAGACACATTCACTGTAGTCTGTGCTGGCGCATTAGCTGATTCATTTGAGCCTACTGCATCTGAAGCTTCGAAATGAACCTCTTTAGTGTCCACGGCCGAGGTAGCGGGCTCTTCCGGCTCCATCACATTGATGTCCACCCACAGACGCTGTCCAAAGCGGTTACCATCAGGTGTACTCAATCTCCAATACCCCGTGTACCGTCCTGCTTTCATCGGTGCGACCATGCGCAACGAGACATCAATCGACTTACCAGGAAGCACAGAAGGGATCAATACACTCTCTGGAGCCTGCATCTTGTCACCGCCAACACACGAAAGTACCGCTCCGATCGGCCACTTACTTGGGCCACCATTACGAAGTTTCCAAACCTTGTCGAAAGCCTCACCAGGCGTCAGAACGGTACCATCTGGACAGGTGACATCTCCCTCAAATACCGCCACAACAGGCCCCAAGTCCTGTTTCGTCTCCTCAATATTAATGTTCTCAAAATAGTCACTTGTTGACATGAGCTGCACATTGTGACTATATTGTACTTGTTGCAGTACACGCTCCACCTGTACACGTGCATTAGGACATTTGGCCAGTAATATTTTTGCAACTTCCTCCAAGTCCTCCGTGCCAGCTGCAGCCACAAGGCATTCGACAAAATTTCCATTCTTCTGGAACTTTTCCGTCACAATTTGAAACAAAATAGCAAATTTAGGGTTTGCCATAATTTCCATAATCGCTTCTTGGCAGCCGGGCTCGTGCAATAATGACACTATATCCTTTTTAAGCATCTGGTGCTCTGCGGTGGCAGCCCACTTGTCCACGACCTTTCCAAGGTCCACAAATAAGTCGGACATTTTCCGCTTTTGCTTGCTTCCCAGCATCTCATTGGCATCGGAAGGTAATATGTTGACCTTAGAGTTGCTGCTGGTATCCATAGGCAAATTCGTGCTGGTTGAGACTGTTCTGGACACTGCAATAATCTTGCAGACGGCGCTGTTTGCGTCTTTGCCAGCAGCGACGGCTAGCTCACGCATAAGCCGAAATGCTTCATCTAGCTCGGCATCATTCGTAATACGCACCTGCTCATCATCGTCGTCCATGTAGTATAGCATAAGGTCTGTGTCCTTGAGCTCTGGGAAGACCAACAACACAAAGTTGCGTAGATCCTCAAAACTCAGCTTATCCTCGTGACCAACACTACGATAACCGTTTGACTTGAGTGCCTGGTGTACAGCAGCTAGCTGCACACGGCGCATATCTTGTTTCTCCAGCCACAAGATTTTAAGCGTCGGCATAGTAAGATGAGCGTAATTATGGAGCTTTCTTTTGTCCTGGGCGTTTTCTTTTGAGATTAAACGTTTTCTTCGCGTTCTTTCGATGAACTGAAGAGCTTGACTCTTGATATTAAATATTATGTTGGTCAAGGGATAAAAAAAAAGCAAAGTAAGTTGATGTGTATAGTAGAAATATTTTGAAAAGTTTTGCAGCCTAAAAAAACAAAAAGTCGAGAATAGTCTATTTGAAGCCTTAAATTCCACAGATCTATCATAAATGTATCAACAAATATTGCATCAAGAAAATTTCCGACATGAATGTTGTTAACAATGTACAACTTCCATGCGGATATAATGTATTGCAAGTATTGCTTACAACTGCAACTTTTTAGTGCTTGATCGACAACGACAATAATCCTCGCGCCTACGCTACAAATTACTGGAAACACATGATTTTGAGGCAGAACAATGACATCTTCTCAGCTCTCGAGCTCATGCCGTGTACTAGGACCAAAATGCAATTATATTGCACCCCCTTGTGATGTGTGGTGGATGTAAAATTGATTTGAACTAGAATCTTTACTTTGAGATGGCAGACGAAAATGTTGTAGAAGCTGCTATCGGAGAAAACCTTGGGCATGTGGCCACGACGATTAGAGCCTTAAACGCGATTTAAGTTGTTAAGCTTTCAACAAAGTGTAAGCATGAAAGCAAGATCAGCTTGCTATTCGTGCGACTTCAAGTGACAAGTTTCATGGCGAACAAGCTACTTCATACGCACGTACTGTCGTTTTGATCGAATAACTGCACTTGGCTTCTCATGAATAAAAAGAAACAGAGATCGATCGTAATTAAACTCAATATTGTCAATAGCTTGAATACGAGATTTAAAGCTGATTTAATATTGAGAAGTTGTTGATCTAAACTTTTTCACAATCCGACAAAAACTTGTTAATAGCAGCTGTGCATTCAACATACTTTTCATGATGTAAAATGTGACCACAATCGTCAAAAAGCACTACTTGTCCTTGGGCCTCCGGAGACCATTTTTTTTTCAGCACGTCTACCGATGAAACGTCCAAAACTTGGTCATGTTTGCCCCACATTACTAACATCCTTGCTCGAATAGCAGGCAGCAAATCCTCTAAAACCGTCGGATTCTCCAGGGAGTCACGAATAATCTTTTGTAGCACTGGTAATTGTTTCTCTCGTTCTGATGCAAGAATATTCAGCACCAATTTCGAAATTTTGGGTGGTTCGTAACTCAAATATTTGTTCATCTCATCAAGATCTTCAACTGTATGAGCCAGAAGAAGATTTCGTCCAGATTCATTGAGCATCTTCAGCAACGCGCTCCTTGAGGGCATGGAAATGCCTGCTGGACACACCATAGTTAGCGACTTGACACGCTTCGGATATAAGCCAGCGTACACTCCAGCAAGCATGCCACCCATGGAGCAGCCTACAAGATGGATCTTTTTGTCAGCAGGCACCTCCTTTTCGAGAAAGTCGTGTAGCCTCTTGGCCTGACTTGGCATTGAGTAGTCGGCCAGTATATCAATGGGTGTTGTTCGTCCTTGACCTGGCAAATCGGGAATGACAATCTTGTAACGCTTGTCAATACCGCGGGCCACACGAAGCCAAGACTCCTTCGAGGAACTAAAGCCGTGCAGAAACACAACTACGTCCGTGTCCGTCTCATTCTTGCCACGTCGCTGAATGTAGCTCCAATTGAGGTGTTCAATACTCGCGTTTTTGGCGGTGAAGCCTGAGACAAATCGAACGACATCGAACATCGACGTAAGAAGAGAGACGATCATGGTTTACTGCTAAGGCGAAGATGCTTGAAATGCATTTAATTGTCTTGATAAATTTATGATGTGCATTAAATTGAATTAGTAAAACCGTGCGTAGCGTAAGTAAGTCGGTGTTGAAAATAGTAACGTTTCCTGATTATTTCTGTACTGAACTTTCCTTGTCAAGTGTATATTTTACAGTGTAGAAATAGTTGTCGAGTATGGAAACTATGTGGCTATAAGGGTGGGTATTGAACATCAATGTAAGTCAGCGATATAATTTTTGGCCTCCGTCTGATTTCGCTTGCCTGAGAGTTTTATCACTGACGGATCTAGGCTTTAAGCCTTTTGGCTTTTACCTTTCATCATACAAATGATGCTATTGCTACCATTTCAGTTCATCACCCTATGGACAATACGGGGGAATGTGCCCACTGAAGCTTTGTTGCTCAATTTTCGTCAAGATGTAAGTTGATACAATCAAAATAGCTAATGACCAAGCAATAAAATGATCCCACCAGACTTCTGAAACATTACACCAAATCGGCTACAATATAAACATCAACTCAACTTTTACGCTGATTCATACGATCACTTCTGTAGCTTAAGGGATGCGAATCAAGGCAATGTACTGCTAAAGCTGAACTGCTTGCAAAGTAAACATCTAAGTGGCTGTGTAGCCACACAGCATCCTGCTTTTGGACCTCCCATCACAACCCGATTAGTTACTGGATCCGGTTTTGTTTAATAAAGTATTGTCTGCAATCAAGGCTATTATCATATCGTCAATACGTGTGACAATTCAAACTAAAATGTAACTTGTACTTTTGGCACGAACGTAATTCTTATCTTAAGCTGTACGAAATTCAAATTACACCTAGTGTGATTGTGAGAATTTCTAAGTACTGGAACATTGGTATTTATGAAGATTAGGTTCGAGACGTAACCAATCCCAGCGCATCGCACTTAGGGTCTCCAGGCTAGGAGGCGGTACTTACGTGCAATACCTCAAAGAGAGCCTTCCAAACATGGGACGATTTGAAGCGTCAGATGTGGTGGATATTCTCGCCGCCCAACCAGGCGTCTGGGGTGCGTTCAAAGCTCTTGTGAGCTTGTCATCAAAGGCGAGAGCTGATGAACTATGTAAGACTTGTACGATATCTGACCTTAACCCGGAGACATCAGTGGTAACGATCATATGAAGTGTATCCAAATGGTTACGGTTCGCACCGAGACCTTCTGCATCCACCGTACCTCTTCCGGAAAGTGGCAAGTGTCGCATTCAGTATGATTTGGCGACGGCAGGATGAGGTGCTGGCTGATATAGCTGTACGAGTCTTCCAGAAGCGATGGAGCACATTGATGCTTAGATGGAAAATAGGGATCTACTAGCTGCTAATTAGCCCTGCGGTACCTGCAAATGTTCATCCGCGGGAGTACAAATCTCTGTGTCGTGCGTGCACCTTCGCTTTCTGTGTTGGGGCACGGAGGATCGGGGAGAAACGGCATTCTCACCGAGAATTAACTAAGTGTGTTGGTCGCGAAGACCGAGTTTTTGGTGGGGTCTCGCTAGGCCAGGCAACTGGGTGCACGGGAACGAACACCCGATAGAAGTACGGTGAAGAAGAGCAGAAAGAATTTAATTGAGTAGGTGAAGTGGAACTCCAGGCGCAGTAATTATCATGGAGCGGTCACTTTTTCGCAGAGACAAAATCAGTGTGAAATCCAAATTGGTCCTCAACTTCGTGGGGAGAGTGTAAAGGGGCAACTACTGTAATCTTGCGTATCTTACCCCCACACACATTGATGCAGCGTTGCCGATTACTTACGAAACAATTGGACGATGTAAACATCATGCTTGGTATAATTATGAATATCCATAAGTACCATAATATTGTTATCTATGGAGACTTCGGAACTCTAGAAAGGAGATTAGCCAGGTAAACGTGGGCTGTAGCCGCAAATGAAAGAACGGTATTATTTATTAGATGTAGTTCAACGTACAAATTAAGTACTTGTGTGCAGAAAAGTTGTATATATATGTACTATTGCAAAAGCAGAGCAAGTTAACAGTGTTGATTACTTTTGAAATTCTCGGCTTCGCTTATGGTAGAAGCTGACAAACTCAGCCTCCATGCATTTATCCTTTAGTGTCAAAACTTACTATGTGCAATGTGCACGGCAATTTAGCTGCATACCGACGCACAAGTACACCCCTGAGCTCAGCCGACTTGTTTCGTCATGCCTCTAGCCCGAACATGAAAGAATGACGAGCTTCTTTTTCAATTGACTTAATTTGTTAAATCTCAGCAATCATGTGTAATTCACGCGAAACTACTGGCCACAAGACGCAAACATCCAATCCAATGGGTTTTCAGATTGCCAGGTTACAAAACGCAAACCCAACGCGCCATTTCTTAGGAAGCGCGTTGTCACGCCAACTTTTGATCTTGAGCATAAGAACAAGGACAAGGCTAAATAGAGCCGAGTGACCGCTAGCATTGCGTTAAAAATGGTGTTCGTTAGTCGAGTGTTTGAATCAGAGGATGATCATTTCCTTCAAACTGTAAGTCTGTCTCGTGGGGAATACTGGAATCCTCACTTACACCAAGAGATCTTGCGTTATGAAGCCAAGAAAGGCCCAGCATCATCAGGGGGCAAATCTCCGCCACCTAGTATAAGCACTATGGCCGACCCTAAATTTAAAGCCCCGGTACCGTATCATACGACGACTCTTAGTGGAAGGAAGATATCAAACCAAGGTAAGATCACCGGGAGAATAATTTCTATGCCAAGGTTCGTTTCGATTTGTCAAGCGGTAAATGGCATTCGCGATCAGGCCGCTGATCTTTAGCGTTTTATCTTGTCCCGGTAATTCATCGCAAAGAGCTGATTATTGTGGATACTCCGAACGAGTGTACCACCAACAACGAAGTATTTCTGTGTGAACGTGGGTAAGGTTCTACATAACTGAGTGATAAGGATCGAAGATCACTGGGGCGCTGACCAATGTTATCCATAGTCACCTCCACAGCATACCGAATGGGGTGTTCACTGCTGTGAGTAGAATGTCAAACTCCCTCGATACAAACCGTCCATTAGAGCAAGTGCACTGACGTCGTACACCTGGACATGTTGTTTAACAACACGTTCTTAAGAATGATCTGGATCCGTGTCGGCACGGTGGCAGTTTAAGTTTTGGTAAGCACGTACTTGTCGCTACATTCCGTTCACGCAGAATATGGCCCGAGTGCGAGGATATCGATTCAAAACACACAGAATATGCTACGAGTGCGCGGATATCGATTGAAAGCACATCCTATCAATCTTTGAATTCTCTGCAAAAATCTGTCAAAGCTCTAGAGGGTTTGGCCATTACATCGTGAAACAATATGTCATGCTTGGCACGACACCACCCCACAGAGCTTTCTTCCGTGGCCTTCCCTTTGGCACCCCATTGCAATGATTATACTAAAAAGTAAAATTTATCGATATCTGGAAACACTTTTATCATAGAGCCATCTGTCAGACCGCTTTCTTTTCTCTCTCGAGCCATAAGCAAAGCCATCGTAGTATTTCGCGACCCTCTGCCAGCACGCAAATTTTTTTGACGCGTCAGAGTCTCCGATACTCTCTTGGGGTCTCCATATTTTGTACAGCTGTGTGAACCACAAGTTGTTTCTTCGCTGTTTGCATTTTCTTTCAAGGGCACCCAGGCTTCCAGATATTCGCTCCTATGGTAGTTAGCGACCAATCGCTCCTTATGAACAATCATTCTCTTTTTATTGGGGCGTTCCGCTCATACTGCCGAGAGAATTATCTTGATGTGTGGTCGTGGTTTCTGCTCTTGACCCCACAAAGATCTACTACTAAAATAAATATAAATGTTTAAATGAACCCTGTTCATGTACCTAGGTCGGCACGTATCACCGACAAACCATAGTAAGGTATGTTGATATTCGTAGATTCACTTTGTTGGACCAGTAGTGGGTGCATGAGCTGCTGCTACGGTGGACATAGCTGAAGATGATGTCTCCCTGCCCCCATAAGAGAGAAGCGCAGTCTCACTTTGGCTATACCTCTCCTGAATCGCGATTTGTAATACTTATTTCACTGCTGAAGCCTGGATGCGGATTAATTGTATGCGAGTTGGTCCTAATGTCAGGCCGTCTATATACAACTCACTTCGATCTTCTTAGGTAAGGAGCTTCCGACCAGGAATAACGTCAACACGCGCAAATCGTGAATGTATTCATTCAGCTCGTGCCAAAAAGTGCGACTGACGGCATAACGTACGGTTTACGGCAAGGAGACACTCACATAGACGCAGCCACGATGCAAACCTTTAGGCACCACCGCGCCACGCGTTTGCATATAACATTTTGTTCGACTCCTTTGGTTAATACGGAACGCGGACCTGATGAACCGTAGCTACTTTCAGGGCTAGCTTCGACTCAAAGATTGGGTAGTGGCTATTTACATCTTTATTTCCTATTCTAACAGCTATGACATTCTGAATCTAGGTCAGCCCTAACCATGACGAATCATCTTACATTTTAATTGATCAAATGCATTCCTACTCGACTGGAGACATGGCTGTCAGGTTTTTTAGGGCCTCAGCTCGAAAATGCTTGCCGTTTTCAGAGCGGACTCAATATGAAGCTCATAAGGCTATTGAGGTTGCGGGTTCTAGACTGTACTTTGCGTGGGGGAGCGTTTAGAAATATACAAACGTTCTTTGAACAACCGTGCACAGCAGCTGACCTTAGGGAGACTCGGACCTGAGATAGATAAAGTACCGATAAAGACTTTGCAAGATATTAGATTCCTTGCAATCAAAGCTATATTGACCAAACACTGCGATATATGATACGTGTGAATGAAAAAATATTTTTTTCTAAGAAATCCGAAGGCCACCTATAATGCTAAACAACCATTGTCGTATACTTTTGACACTGAGTGTACTAGATGTTATGACCACAACATACACTACACACCGATGCACCTCTTCGTATTGGCGCACCATGTAGTCCCGTTGCAGTTCATATGTCCAGCTGATCCATTACAAAGTATGCAACGAAGTGATATCGCACCTCGCCCCGTGTTCAGTAACACACAGGGGATGAGTCGCTCGATCCGAGCGCTTCTCACGTAAACAGTACTTTGCACTCGATTCAGGTGTGACTTATTTTAACGTATGTTTAGCTTGAGTCTGAAGTAACAATCTACCTTACCAGCTATGATAGCAAAACCGTATCTAGTGCACACTTTGAGGCTAACAGTCCATGTGTCCCAATGATATCTACATGACAAAACTCTATTACCTTCCTCTGTAACGATTACCAAACATGCCTCATTGTGCAACTTGCAGTGCTTGCAGCAACGAGCGTCAGCCGAATCGAAAATTTTCATTCCAGTGTATTTTTAAGGACACAGCGTTCCAGTTAGAAGAGCTCGGCCTCCGCAACTGTCGACCTAATAGCCATCCTCGGTGTGAAGACAATGGTGTTCTATAAATTTATGGGAATAATGACAGTTGAAGTGCACGATCTAGCATCTTGATCCCCACCAAGGGTAACAATACAAAGTTGATTCCCGTCTGTCGAGATTTCTCAATAATTTAGTATTTTCCAACGCTGTATCACACCCCTACACGATTTGCCATCTCAGTGCCCGCTCCCTGCATCAAATAATGTTACGACAACAGGCCGCATGCCTCACGACATGGTCCATCTTGTCACCAATGATCTATGCAAGACTCGGCGAGTCAAACTTGCCCCACCATAAGTGCAAGTGTCGCAACGACTTTTAAATGGAGTCACGCCGTACACATGTATTTGATTTGTTTGCCACCGCAGAGACCTTACAAGCATATACACGCGGGTCCTCTGACCAAGATATGATCAAATCGAGCGCTCGAAAGTCGTTTCGCGGGCGTTTTAAATACCGAGTCGAGAGCAGCCGCCGTCAGGTAAATTCGTTCCCCCAGGAGCCCCGTTACTTTTGCACAATAAGCTGGCTTTGGTGCCGAAGATTATCGCGTACGATTCGCGCACTGGATATAGAAAGCACGTGCCTTGAATAATTACATGCTAGTTTAAGTGGCACAATCATCAGTCTGAAACGTTGCTAAATACTTTGCTTTTGCGAACTAAACGCACGACGTGGACGACGATAGGGATTTTCATCCCCCATGTTATTGCTGTCAGCATCTGTGCCTACCTCCATGATCCCACAAGTAAAATTTCCAGCGAGGTCCCAATCTTTTAACAAGACAGGGATTTTCTTCGCTAGTAGAAAGCCAGCTGTGCTGGTATTCGCCGTCTCACCATTCGGGGATATAGAGGCAGAGAATGCGCCAGGTCAAAGCGTTAACAAAGCCAAATCAATTTTGCCGTAGGTGACTTTAAAGTTTCTGTTAGGCTGTCCGTCCTTTTCCACCCTATAATGATTTCAGCTGTAGTGCACTTGCCGGCCAACATCCGATCCTCAGGACAGTAATCATCTCTTGTTTTTCTAAAAATATCGGCAAGCGGCGTTTCTCCCGTCGCTGGCGATTGTGTGATACCTTGGTTTCGGCGACACGCTAACACTTTCCAGGACTCTCGGCATGTTAATATCAAACAATGGACTAGCCTTTGGATACGCTTTCTGAGCAACGCTATACAGATCATGCGTCACTACGCACTGCGACTCAGTCGCCCCACCTTTCACCGTATGGCTATCTATCTTTGCAGAATATAACTTCGTGGTGAAGTATAAGCCGGGAAAGCAGAAG